ATTCAAGGCTGGACCAGGAGGAAATGAGGGAGGCAGAACAAAAACAAAAACAAACACAAACCTCGGTAATTGTATCAGTTTGTTTGGGCTGCTGGAGCAAAGTACCACAAACTGAGTAGCTTAAGCAACAGAAATGTATTGTCTCATAATTCTAGAGCCTAAGGGTCTGAGGTTGTGTTGGCAGAGCCATACTCCCTCGGAAGGCTCTAGGGGAGGGTCTTTGCTAAGCCTCCAGCTTCTGATGTCTTGGCTTGTGGCAGCCTAACTCCAATCTCCACATTGCATTCTCCCTGTGTGTGTCTGTGTCCAAATTTCCCCTGATTGTAAGGACACCAGTCATATTGGATTAAGGGCCTCCCTGCTCCAGTGTGGCTTCATCTTAATCAACCGCCAACGCAATAACCATGTTTCCAAATGAGGTTGCATTCAGAGGTACCCGGGGGTCAGACTTCAAGATGTACATTTTGAGGGGGGACACAATTCAACCCAGAACAGTAATCACATTTAATACAACATTTTTAAAATTAAAAATTAGTGTAAAGACTCCGTGATGAACAAAATATTAAAATGTTAAGAAAAGATAAAATCAGTATGGTCATATAAGGTTCCAGAGATGAGGACTCACTTCCAGGTACATACCAATTCAGCATCCCAGGTAAAGCACTGAAATGATTCTTTAGCCGGTAACACCGGCAGTGCTCAGACCTCGGCTGCCCTTCCCGTACCCCTGGAACCTCCCGCACCAATAGAACAACTAAAGGGTTAACACCAGGCCCACGGGGGTCCCTGTGGTTAGATATCAGGAATTCCACTTTCAGAGAGGGCCAAGCCAGTGAACTAAATATTTCCGATGTTTATAGGTGTTCCTTTTTGCTTCTGTAATGCACACGTAATGATAGCTGCTCTCCCACAAAGTTGGTGTAAGAAGATCAATAATTAAGTGCTATGCACGAATGAAAGGCTCTCAGTACCGTTTGGTGACAGGTAACAACTGCAGACCTGTATAGTGCTGAATTCATCCATCCATCCATCCGTCGTCCATCTATTCATCCACCTTTTCATCCATCAGTATATATTCATTCATCCAACACATCCACCACATGCCAGCCACAGTGCTGGACTCTGAGAATAAATACAGCCAGTCCCTTCCTTCATGGAGCTAGAAAATCTGGTGGGGCAGACAAATCGTAAACAAACGAATTCATAAATAAATTTAAAATTGCAAATTGTGGTGAATGCTGAGAAGAAAAGGAACAATAAGGTGGCTTGAGAGAATGACAAGGGGATCGGAATTTAGAGCAGGTCCTGAGGAAGTGACAGGGAAGGTGAGAATTATGTGAAGGAATGAGAGGGGCAGCTGATTTGAGGCTCTAACCTCCCCTCTCCCCTCGAGCTGGAGCTATTTCCCAATTCCGAGTGAGGGCAACAGCGATCATCTTTCAAGCGGCTGGTGCTCCACAGTAATAAACCAGGGCACTCTTCTATGTCCAGATAAGAGTAAAGATAGTGTGCCAGCATGTCTGAGGTTTTTGAAAGGAATGGGCCTGGGCTATAGAAGAGTCTAGCTCAGCTTTTATGTCAGCGAAACCGATGGCCGTCAAACAGTGCCCAGTACAAGGATCTCTTGCAATTTTTGTGCAGCCACTGAGAATTTTAGAGGAGAAAAATGTTGGAGACCAGGCTAGAGAGATCTCCTGTTTTAGTTTTATAATAATGATTTTTTTAAAAAGCCAGTACTATAGGGATCAAGTAATTTATTGATCAGTTGAAAACTTCGGTTAAAGCAAAGATCCATTAAAAAAAAAAAGTTACCTTAAACATTTGATTTTGATGAAAAAATAAAAATGTGCATTCATTTGCCAGTCTTTCTAGATAGGGCTTTTCCTTTGAGTAGGGGTCTACTGATTGGAATTCCCTGTGATCTTCTTGCATAAACAGCATCCAGTATCTGTTTCTTTCAATGAAAAGAAAACAAAAACACTTGTGAAACTGTCAGAGCCCAAACTCCATCTAGATTTCTTCAACTTCTTTTTCCAACCTTTTACAGTTGTCCTAATTCCACAATTTAGTTTTAGTAGCCATTCTTTATTGGGCCTACCCAAAGTATCCAACTTAATTTTTATAGAATGAATAACTCTTTCTGCCCCACTCATATTTTATTGGGTAACATATTTAATTAAATTGTGTAATTACAATGACCATACAAACTGGCATTAACAGGTTTGGGAACACATGCATCTTATTCTTTCTAAGCATGTAACTCGAGATGGTAGCAAAAGTCCATCAGTGGACTAGGTTGACGATGATAACCTAGGGAACAGTGTGGTGTCTCCTGTGTGGCAGGCACTGTTCCAAATGCATTGCTTAAATAACAGTTCATGTAATGCTCACAACAATTCTGTAGGTAGCTACTATTATCTTCTCCATTTATAAAATGAGAAGACTAAGTTTCCGGTAAGCAGACATCCAGCATGCTGTAGGGATCGGGCATCAGGGGAGCTGGTGGGTGGGTTAGGGAGAGTTCTGTTAAAAGAGGTTTTACCCAAGGTCTCGAAAAACAGAATCAATTCATAGCTCTCAGAGGTAATATTTTATGATCCCACCTGAAAAAAAGGAGGAGACTATCACCTTCTCACGGCCCTTTAAGCTTGAGGTTCTGCAAAGAGGAGTATCAGAAGAGAAAGCACTTTCTTCCATTTGAGTTGCCTTCGTATGTAGCTCATTTCTCGGAATTTCCTCTGGCTGCTCTTGGTTGATGCTGTCCGCAAGTGCCTGGTTCTTCACTCTTGTCTTTCTATCCAGCCAGGTGTACCTGCTGAGGATCAGCGTCCTTGCTAATAGTCAGTCCATCCCCTGTCCTGTGATGACCCCGAGTTGCCTGGATTCTCTGATCCGACCACGGGTAGCTTGCTCTGGCCCCGTGTGTGTCACCCTGGCCCACCGCCCGCGTGGCTCTCTGGGCTCCTGGCGGCCTGCCCGACATTTTGTGTTCTTTCCTTCTGCTTCCATCTGCCCTCTGCACTCCCTGGCTCTTTCCTCTTTGCCTGGCTTCTCACTTGATGCCTGTCTTGACCCCCCTTGCTGTTCACATATGCTCTGTTCACACCTTGTTCACCCATCCCTATTTTAATTTTTAAATAGGGAATGCATGCACAGGGTTTAAAAACTCAAAACTATATGAAAAGGTATACAGTTAGATGTCTTGCTTCTAGCTCTGCCCCCATCCACTCCATCCCCTACGTGCCCCACCCCCCCCCCTGCACCACAGGGAAGTAATTTTATTAGTTTCTTGTATATACTTACAGAGTTTTTATGCAAATACCACCCCCCCCCCATCCATCCTCCTCTTTCTTAAATAAAAGGAATGTTCTTGTTCTGCACTTTTATTTTCTTCACTTAACAATGTATTCTGGAGACCTCTCCAGGTCAGTCACAGAGCTCCTTGTCCCTTTTTTAAGCTGTATAGTAGAAAAGCTTACACCCAGGACCCAGTAGGTGCGTGTGGGCCAGTCTTCAATGACAGACACCTGGAGTTTTCCAGTGTTTGGTGAATATTATCAAAGCTTCAGGAAATAACTTTGGGCATTTTATTTGTGCCAACCCAGTTCTCCTTCCATTTTCTTTCCTGATCCTTTAAGTCTTTCAGGACAAAGTAGACTTACAGCGTGTCACCTGTGCTGACCTGTTGTTTTTGGTCAAGACCTTTGACCTTGCCGTGGCCATCTCCTCTTAACTCTAAATTTATCTCAGTTCTTATCAAATAGGACGTGTTTTCAGTTTTCTTCCACAACCACTTTCGATCCATTCGACAAGTTTTTATTCCTTTTAGGGCATAATATTTCCAATTATAACCAGCAATTCCACATAATTGTAATGATTCCAAACAATTTCACCAATCTCAGTAGCCAGTACTTTGTGAGTATTTATGGTGAGCCAGATACCCGGCTAGATGTGTTATGTCTTTATATTTTACTTAATTCTTTGAACAATCCTATAATTTACTAATGAGAAAACTCAGTCTCAAAGAAGTTAAGGGACAAGTCCAGGGTCACACGGCTGGTAAATAACAGAGCTGGCATCCTAGCCCAAGTCTTCCAGACCCCACAACGGTCTCAGAGAGAAGGGCTTGTGGAAATGTAAGGTAAGTCAGTGAGGGTCAGTGAAAGAGTCTCTTTAAAATCTGATTCAAATTCAGAGCCTTTGTGTTTTTCTGCAGCTTCCGGGAAGATTTCCATTATAATGACACTGCTGGGTACTTCATTATTGGAGGGAGCAGGTACGTGGCCGGCATCGAAGGGTTCTTTGGACCCCTGAAGTACTATCGCCTCCGTACTCTGCACCCTGCACAGGTGAGCCCAGGAGATCAAGGACAAGTGTGCTAGTGCTCACGGGTGATGGGTATGCTGCTCAGGAACCTGGAACCCGCTGTAAACAAAAGATTTATCCGAGACGAATCTCTCATCGGCTCTGTCATCAAACATTATTAATATTGAATCTTTTCCCCCAGCTAACATGATAATAGATTTCTGTTAACATTTGGTTCATTTAGTACTCATAAAATGGAAACCATTTACTTCCTCTGTTTTAATAACTACTGGGAAATCCTGACTTTCAGGTTTAATTATAGAGAGTAGATTTTTATCAGGCTGTTGCCTATCCAGTGATTAAGCTAATGAAAGGAGAGCGTCTTTGTTATTTGGTAAAGCTTCTTCTACATGCTATTATTTAAAGTAGCAGGAGAGGAGACACCGTAGCAAATGAAAATCTTGGTTCCGTTCACTGCTCTCTTCAGAAGCTTGGGCTTTCGGCTCACACTTGGGGGTTTGGCACTGAGGGCTTTGTATTCAGAACGGCATCTGCCGTTGGATGCTCGCATCCAAAACCCACCTGCAGGTGGAACCGTCCCGCCCTCCAGGCCAGGGCCAGCAGGGCTGCTGTAGGGACCCAAGGGGCCCCCACAAGGGGGCTTTTGCAGCGGTTGTGTTTTCTGCCTGGGTGAGGAGATCACCCAATCCCTGGACAAGGAGCCTTCTTTCATTCTCGTGACCCTGTGGGGTTTGTTCTGAGAAAAGTAGGAGTCACTAGGCAAAATCGGTTAGGAAAAATGGGGAGCCCTACCACCCATGGGTGCATCTTAGAACTTCCATTGAGAGCCCTCTATGAAGAAGGGAAAAAATGAAATTTATTTATTCATTTGTGCAGCAAATGCTTATTGAGCACCTAATATGTGCCAGGCTCTATGCTAGGTTCCGAGGCAGGTGTCCAAGATAAATTAAGATGGTAGGTTTCAAACTGTTTTTTGAAGATGATCCATAATAAGACATCTATTTAATACAATGAACAGTACATATGTATGCCCATATAGACACATACACATACATCTATATAATACAAAATGGAAAAAGATTTTTCTGAATACATACTCTTGCTATGTTCATTGCACTCTGATATTTTGGGTTCCACTTTATTAAAAAAAAATCCCTGCTGGTTACAACCCACTGAAATAATTTCATGACCCTCTAAGGGGTCACAACCTGCATTTTGAAAACACTGAGTTGAGATAAGGCCTCTGTCCTTGAGGAACTTCCTGTTTGGGTCCTAAAAAGATAAGTCACAAAAGAATTTGGTGCATGTATTAATTCAGGTGTGAACACAGTGTCGGGGAACACTGAGGTGGGAACATTGGCATCGGCAACCAGGTGAGGGTGGGGTGGAGCCACTCTGAAGCGATGACCTTGAATCTGGCCCTTGGAGGTTGAGTAGGAGCCTCCCAAGCAGAAGAAATTGGAAGAAGGGCTCCCAGTCAGCTGGCACAGCACGGGTGGACTTGGCATCCTTGGGGAACTGAAGGGGAGATGAATATGCTATTCTGGGGACAGCATGCAGTGGGGGGCAAGAAGAGGGTGGAGGCTCGTCTCTGGGAAATCCTGACTTTCAGGAAGCCCCGTAGAGGAAAAGATGCCACCAAAAGAAGACAGAGGGAAGTGGCTAGAGCCAGCATGTCCTTGCATTACACCCTCCCTTTGCAAATCCAGAGTGGATCGTCTGTGAACAAAGACCACCTGACGATGTCAGCGGGGAGAGGGGAATCAGCCTCTTGGGTATCAATGCGTGTTTGATGACAATTGTTCATTCGATTTTCTTCTTGTAGATTTTTAATCCCCTCCTTCAGAAGCAACTTGCTGAACAAATCAAGTTATATTACGAAAGGTGTGCAGAGGTTCAAGAAATAGTGTCTGTGTACGCGTCCACAGTACAGCAAGGGGGCGGGAGCCAGGAAGCATGTGAGTATTGAGCTTCCGGAGGGCAATCTTTAATTTTGTGCATCTGTGTCAACACATTTGGCTTCCTTCTAATGGAAGGTTAAAATGGAACGTATATGACTTTGACCCAGGGGGACAGGTATGACCTCCACAGATAGGTGCAAGTAAAAGGATACATTCCACTAAATTTCAAGACCAACAGCCAACAACAGCCCAACCTTCCTCATAGCTTTAACCATATGTGATTTAGTTTAAGAATACAAATGAGAGTATTTTGAGCCTCGCATTTCATTATTCCCATTCATAATGGGATCTTAGGCCAGTCTAAGAAAATAAAAATGAATTGGAAAATAAATTAATCATTAGAAATGTTTCCCCACCGGAGTACTTTTGTCTTAGATCATTAATAACTGAATATTAGCTTTCAGAAATGTTGAACAATGACTTTGTTGTTTGGGGCTCGGTTTTATTTTTTTAATCCTTGAAATTGACTCATTCTGGAAGACATTGGTAATTTGCAACAGAGGGAACGAATAATTTCAAATAGATTGCTTTCATGCCTGCTATATTTGCATGGACACACCCTTTCACTCATATGAGGTGTTTAACGGTTATAAAACTTGGTCCTGTCTTGTCTTCCAATGTACCAGCTTGGATCTGGCACTTATCAGATTCTCTGTGCTGTAGATCTTCTTGCCTGATGTGGTAGCACTAGACTTAGTCACATATATTCCTTCTGGAAGAGAAGTTCCTGTGGGGCCATTACCATTAGCAAAAGCAAATTGAGTATTTCAGTCCTGCCCACATATCTCCCCATCTCCAGAGCTAGACTTCCCATTCCAGGCCATGAAGAAATCGATGTTTCTTGAACATACTCTGGTCCAGTGGGGTTTGTATAAAACAGTCCCAGGGAGTGATTAGAGATGGTGACAGGTAAATGTGGAAAGGCACACTTTTTGTAATCCAATTTAAGAATAGGCTATACTGGTCCCCAGATGCTGTTCTCGCCTCTGAATCATCTAGAAAATACAATGCTGTCAGAACAGGGGGAAGATATATAGGAATAGTAATGTCCCAAATAGGAAAGAAACTGATTTTGATAACTGATCGAATTTTAGGAGAGACGGTCGGAGTTGGAAGGCCAGCCTTGCATGCTGATCTGTTCGGGGGCGTTGAGAAGATTTTCCTAACATCTCCCGCCTCGCCTCCCTGGGGGTCCTTGGTCTTTGCTTCTCAGCTCACACTGCCAACAAAATGGCCTAGATATTGGCCTCTTGGGGACCAGTCTGAGGCCAGCTGCTCATTCTGTAGAATTATTCAACAGCCATCAGCAACTTGGGCACATTTCCCTCGGACTTGGCTTTGAATTTGTGACCTCCGGGCAAAGGCATCACACCAATTTCAGATCCCAACCCGTAGCCAGTAACATGAAGTCTGGCCTCTTATTTCTGGTTCCACTAGGGAGGAGGATTTAGAGAGGCAAGACTTACCCTCTCCTAAGGGGAGTGGTATCTTGTGCTTCCCTTTCCTGCAGGTGACCTGGGGAATTCCTACCTGGACCTGAAGTGCAGGTACGGGAGCCCTTCGACATGCAGAGCCTTCCCCTGGGAGAAAGAGCTGAGAGCCCAGCACCCCAGCTTGTTCCAGGCCTTGCTGGAGACGGTTCTGTCGATGGGTAACTATGTGTTTTCCTCGCCTTCGGACGCTGGTTGGGAAGGCTCCCTGTTTTCCCACAGTTTCGCTCGTCCTCTTTGGTGATTTATGCCTTCAACTTATTTTTAACCCCAGCGTTTCAGCTTAACTTCACATTTAAATTCTGCCCTGTCCACAACTCTCAGTATATCTGTGCACATTTCCACCACTAAATACAAAAACATACATTTAGGAATCGCTTGAGCAATTCTTTATTTAAAGCCAAGGCCACAAGAGGACAGCTTACAGCCAGAGCTGGCCCCCAAATGAGGTTGGTTGGACACACACGTTGTTGTCAATTAAAAAAAAAAAAAATAGTTACCAGTATTAAAAAAAAAAAAAAAAAAAAAACCGTGTAAAAAATGCAAATTTCTAGCTTATCTCAAAAACCCACAAAGACCTGGCAATGCTGGGCCTCCATTCCTACACGGTGGCGATCAACCATGTAAAAAATGCAAATTTCTAGCTTATCTCAAAAACACACAAAGACCTGGCAATGCTGGGCCTCCATTCCTACACGGTGGCGATCCTGGAGGTGAGTGGTTGGCTCAGACACGCTCGGTCCATCCACAGCCTCTTCTCTCTGTATCACAGCACCTCTTGCCTCCCTCATTCATGGGTCTTACCTGCCTGGGCCCGTAGGCACTTGAACGTGAGACCCCTGATTTAAAGTGCGCTTTAGGCAGCATCTCAGGAATCAGTGTATACTTCCAAAATGTGGCCGGCTTCTCCTTAGGCCTGTCGCGATTTGGGTTTGCTCGGTAATTAAGCACACCATGCAGGGTCACGAGGGCTCCTGAAGCCATGTCTGTTCATCCTGGGGAAAAGGACACTAAGTAGGGGATGATGACAGCTGTTTTAGTGGTCAGAGCCAACTCGTGGTAGTTAGCTAGATCCTGGGATCAAGGCATTGCGGAAACTGACTTCTGCTTCATGTAAGACACCCCTAAGAATGACGGTGTTCAATGGGACGGGTTTCCTTTGCAGATAGTGACCACTTCTCCTGTCCTGAAAGGATTCAAGCCTTTTGGGATTTTTTTTTCATTTGATACTTGCCGAGTGACTATTCAGTTACTTGGCTAGACTTCAGAGATAAGTAAAATAACGCAAGGTCCCTGACCTTGAGGGACAGACTTGAAAGTGAAGAAAAATGGTAACGCATTTGAATAAAGGCTGTCGAAGTAAATGCTAAAAGAAAGGAGTGGTCATTTCTACCTGGAGTGTTCAGAGAAGGCTTCCTGGAGAAGGTGCCACTGGGACTGACTCTTGAAGGGTCAGTATATGTTTGCCAGATAAACGAGGTGGGGTGGGAATTACAGGCAGAGTCGCTGCAGAGAAGTGGGAGCAGCACAGCCTTATTAATGATGTGCAAGGGGTTTGGGAGGCAGATGATGATTCCAACCAGAGCTCAGACACCATCCTGAAGAGTTTGGGCTTTACCTGGTAGGTAGGTGACAAGGAACTGTTGAAGGGTTTCAAGCAGTAGGTAGAGATGCGATCAGATTTGGGTTTTTGAGGTTACTCTGGCAGCAGTGGGAGATTGGGGGAAGTGAACTAGAGGGATCTGGAAGCAGGGAGTCCATTGTCATAACCCGGAAGGAGAAGATGTGGGACAGAGTGATGCAGATGGAGCTGAAGGATGCAAACAGGTTGGCTCTGAAGAGTTCCCTCAGAGTCAGGCGAGGGAGGCCACATAGAGTCATATGACAGAATAGCCTCTGGACCCAGGTGACCTAGTTCCAATTTTAACTTAGCACTTACTAGCTGTGTGATCTTGGACAAGGTGCTTTATTTCTCTGAGCCTCAGTTTCCTCATCTGCAAAATGGGGACAATAATGGTACCTCTCTCCTGGTACCATTGGGTTAAATGAATTAATATATAGTGTTGGGTTAAATGAATTAATATATATAAAATACTTAGAACAGTATCAGTACAATAAACTCTTTGTAAGCAGCATTTTTCAACCCTGACACCATTGACATGGTATTGGACTAGATGCTTCTTTGTGAGGGATCTGTCCCTTGTGTTGTAAGATGTTTAGCTGCATTTCTGGCCTCTACCCACTAGTTACCAGTAGCACTACCCCCCCCACCCCCACTACTCTCTTTTTAAGTTGTGACAACCAGAAATGTCCTTAGACATTGCCAAATGTCCCCAAAAAGGCCAATTGCCCCTAGTTGAGAACCATTGCTATAGTTATCATGACTATAATTACCAAGCTGAGATTCTTCCTGGGTTTTTGCTGGTCATCTGGGAGATGGTGGAGCCACCGCCCCCCTGCCCCCTGCCCATGACGAGTGAGCAGGAGCTGGACATCCATGTTGAATGGTGAAGGCAAATGGGCGAAGGCCATGTCCACATAAAAATTGGTTGTATGAGATTTCTGATCATATTTAAATATAATTTTGCTGATTGGAACAGGGATGAATCATTTTCACAATTCTTTTTTAAGTAAATACTCTCAATAGAATGTTTTCACGTTATTTTTACAGCTCAGAAGTTTTGTTTATAAGAATTTAGAATTATTTCTTCTCCATAGAGGTCTGGAAGTGGAATTTAATTAAAAATTCAAATTGCGAGCTCCCAAACGCTCAGATTCCCTGGGCTGTGGTGCTGTGGACTGTCACATTGAGACCAGGCTATGAGCATGGCTGACCTCAAGCCCCGATTCTGCCTTCAGCCCTATTTTTCTAGGTTACATTGCCCTGTCCATAAGGACTGGGGAAGCTTCTGCAGATGTGGGGCATAGAGCCCTCATTAAAATTCATCTCCATCTGGCACCCTGCCCTTGCTCGGGGCTATCACAGCATCCTCCCGCTAACCCTGGAGAGGTTGGTGTTATATACTGGGCCCATTTTCTAACAAGGCCAAGAGAAATGCAGAAGTTTTGATTTTGTAAATTGAGGGTAAAAAAGTAAGTGTACATTTTTAACATATCTTTCCTCTCATCTATAAAAAGAACAGTAGTAAGACTTGCGTGACTCCACATCCGTTCTTGGTTCCTTACAGAACTTGCTTCCAAGTTCATCTTGCTTTAAGTGTCTAGCTGGCTTTGGACGACTCTGGATACTAGGAATTATGTTGAAAGGTTTCAGGCAGTGGGTAGAGGTGTGATCAGGTTTGGGTTTTTGAGGTCCCTGGCTTTTGAAGTCACTGGTTTTTTGAGGTCACAAAGCACTGGCTTGGAATGCTTTGGACAACTCTCGTTAATAGAAAACTGTGGTTGCATTATGTTTTCTGTTGCTGCCATGAGCTGTTCAGTCCTGTTGACTAGTAGACTTTATTAGAACATCCTCATCATCTTACATTTTTCATATCTTAGGTAAGCTATAATATAGACTCAAGTATCAGATGTTTGATGCTTGGCATTCTCACTGTGGGAACTGAATAGGTGAAGTTACAAAGATAAGGAGTTTAACTGTGTGAGGAACGTCCTAGGTCACTCATATCACAAGCTTCCATCGGTTCATTCACTAAATGAGTGTTGACTAAATGCCCCTGTGAGCCAGGCTAGAACGAGAGTTATTTAGGTAAATGTAAAGAAAACTATCAGCTCCCATAGTTTCTACAAAGGACATTAATTTGTGGAATTTCTTTTCCCCTGGCATTTTGAAAAAATAAGACAGTGTGAGACAATGGCCTGTGATTTCTGGTTCTTTGCGACAGGCATCTTTTTTCTTGGCAGCATCTCCTCAGATAGAAGGCCGACTCTGCTTCCAGGCTGCCACACGTGCAGGTTTCAGACTTGAGAATGTTTTTTCCCCACACTGTGAGATTTTAGGCAGATCATCTGCTCTCACTCTAAGCCAACAACATACTTCAAAGGAGCTGTGAGAATATTTCAGAGGGTTGAGAGCTGGAAGCGTGGGCATCATCAGTGACGAGTAGAAAGAGTATAACGGAGTGTCCTCTGCATTCCACCAAGTGAGATCAGCAGGGGTCCCCACCTTCCAGTTGTCCCCAAAAGAATGAGCTGTCTTTTCCTACTGCAAAGAGAATTGTCAAGTATTTACATCCTCACTCATTATGGATTGTGATTTAAAAATACACATATTTGGTGTAGTAAAATACATATAACATAAAATTCCTCAGCGTAGCCATTTTTAAGTATACTCTTCAGTGGTGTTAAGGACCATTCATATTGTTATGCAACAGATCTAGAAGTTTCTCATCTTGTAAAACTGAAACTCCATACCCATTAAACAACATCCATTCCCCGCCCCAACGCCCCCAGGCCCTGGGAACCACTATCCTATTTCCCGTCTCTATGACCTTGACTACTCTAGGTACTTCATATAAGTGGAATCACACAGTATTTGTCCTTTTGTGATTGGCTGATTTTACTGAGCATAAAGTTCTCAGTGTTTGTCCATGTTGTAGCATGTGTTGGAATCTCCTTCCTTCTTAAGGCTGAATAATATTCCATCGTATGTATATCCTGCATTTTGTTTATCCATTCTTCAGTTGATGGACACTTGGGTTGCTTCCACCTCTTGGCTATTGTGAATAGTGCTGCTGTGGACAGGTGTGCAAATATCTCTTGGAGGTTTGGCTTTCGATTCTTTTGGATGTATACTCAGAGGTAGGATTGCTGGATCACGTGGTAATTCTATGTTAAATTTTTTGAGGAACCGCCACACTGTTTCTTATAGCAACTGTACCGTTTTACACTCCCACTGACAGTGCACAAGGGTTCCAGTTTCTCCACATCCTTGCTGACACTTGTATTTTCTGGGTTTTTGACAGGAGCCACTCTCATGGGTGTGAGGTATAATTTATGTGTGTAGCTTATTTAGTGGGGAAAGTTTGGTTTAATAGCAATTAAGAGTAATGCTCTCATAAAGTGACATAATGTCTGTGAAAGGGCTTCATGGATGGAAAGGTACCATATGAGTATGAGCGATAGGGTTGCCTGAATGGAGCTCCTCTCAGTCTGGCTTGAGGTACAGCTATCTGATTCCATATGTATGTGTCTCTACCAC